GAAAAGATGAACAGCTCCCTCACGCTGCAGCAGAGTCTCCTGTCTTTCAACCCTCTGTGGTGTTTCTGTCTGACTCGTGCACACACTGATGAGTGCTGTGTACAGTTTTTACTTTGACTATTTTATACAGTGTGCGTTTGTGTTGTTGTTTTTCGAGAGTGAATGTGTGCATGCAGAACAGTTGGTCGGAGCATGTGGAACATCAGTATTAGTTTGTGGCTAACCCAGAGTGTGTGTGGTTTTGGTGTCAATGCATTATGACTGACGCTGAAGTAACATGAAGACTCTCCCAGTTGTTGGAGATTCCACTGCTTTACTACATTTAACAGGATTTAAATATTTTAAACATGTATTTGTTGCAGTTGAATAAATGTCGAACATTTGAAAACATTTGCTGTGAAGGTTTGTTAAAGATGTTGATTCCTGCAGGATCTTCACGTTGAGTAGACGGGATGTTGGTTATTTTGTTTGGCCTAACTAGCTAGTTGGTTTAGGTAGAATAAGACAAGCCAGAGGTACTGGAGAGTGCTGACACCAAGTTAACTTTGACATCAGTTTATGAGTCACAGCAGAAATGCTACAGTCAGTCTATTACATGATGATGTGACCTAAAACTATCTGGAGAACTATCTAAGAGAATGATTAGGCTGGTGGAAAAAAAGGATATTTCAGGTTCATACTTAAAGCCAGAATTCTAAGATAACAAAAGAATTAACAGGAAAAGTTCTGAATAAAATGTCTACAGAAGACTGTCAGTTGGAAATAAGATAATTTTACTTTGTGTGGGGACAGAATGTAAACAGAAGTAATTACAAAAAAAGAAAAGAAATATTTCTTGTAGAAAGTCTGTGAGGAATAAAGTTAACATTTTTATATTTTAAGGCACAGACCAGGGCTCCTTACCTGTCTGGACATTTTCCTTTTTCAACAAAAGTACCGTATGTAAAGGGAGTCCAGTCTTTCCATACTAACTACAGCAGCTCAAGGTTTCTCTTAATCCTATTACTTTTTCTTGCACTATTAAAAGATTATATTAAAGTATTTTTCTTAAAAAGTCATTAATCTTGAACTGTGAACTGCCTCCCTAACAGTAATACTGTGCTAACTTACTGTCAAACCCATCCATTGTGTAAGATTTAATGTTGATATGACACAAACTGTCCACACACAGAGTCCAAGTTTTCCTTTATAGCAGTGAACTCAGTTCTTTGTTCCAAAAAAAAGAACTTTTACCTTTTTACTGAGAATAAAAGCTTCTTGTGTTTATTTGTTTCATCCTTTAGTGTGAAATAACAAAGATCCTCTTTCAGTTCTTATTTCACATGTTTAGTAGATTTTGTCATCAGTAATCAGGAACTCTGATTCACAGGCCATGAGCTCAGAGAAATGTCAGTTTTGCAACATGTACAGTGTTTGTCACAGCTTACTGTCACACCCAGACCACTGTTCTTGTTTAGCTGGGCGCATTTTAACATATTGTTATCGTCATTATTATGACTCTATATCAACAGTCTGAATAGTTGTACTTGTGGTATTAGTAGTACTGGTGATGTTAACCGTCACCAGAGGGCGCATGGGTCGCGTTTTAGGTTGATTTCAAAATAAAAGTCCTCACAATTCTCTGCAGGACTCAGCAGCGCATCACTGATCGGAATCACAGAGCAGGGAAAATAAAAGAGCCTTCACTCACCCTCCGTGTCGGCAGACGAAAAACAAAGCCATCAACGCTCAATAGCTACTAATGATTAAAAATGTAGTCAGTGGAGGAAAGCAGCCTAACTAGGTCCAAGTACTATGTCTTATACTATACCTAAGTACAACAACGGTCATTGGTTGAGCAGCTGGTCCTGTGGTGTAGCCGCAACAGCCTGGAGATGACAGTGGACTTCAGGAAGAGCCCCCCCACCTTAGCCCCACCACCACCACCACTTGTCAGCACTGTATCAGTAATGAAATCCTACCAGTATTGAGTCTGTCCTCTGCACCTCCATCACTGTCTGGTTTAGCTCAGCAACCAAACAGGACAAGTACAGATTTCAGCGGACAGTCAGGACTGCAGAAAAGGTCATTGGTGTGAGCCTACCCTCCATGGAGGACCTGTACACCTCACGGGTCAAGAGGAGGGTGGAGAGGATCACTGCTGACCCCTCACACCCCAGAAACAATCTGTTTGAACTCCTCCCCTCTGGACGGAGTTACAGGTCACTGTGCACCAAGACAACCAGGCCCAGAGACAGTTTCTTCCCCCAGGCTGTCGCTCTGATGAACACTTAACCCACGACAGTATGATTGGACAATAACCCTCAGTGCAATACCTGTAAATATACCTCGTACAGATTATACAGACTCATAGAGGTCTCTAGTTTTAAGTACTTTGCTTTTATTCCTATTTATCTCATTTTGATGAGCATTCCTTTGTCTGTCTGCATTGTTTACTGCCTGTTTACACTGCTTATTTTGCACTGTTTGCTCCTTGTTAATACTGCTTATATTGTTATATTACACAGCCTTATGTTGGTTTACTATTTACTTGCCCCTTGCATGGGGATATGTACATACACTTTGAAAGGCAATGTACTAGAGTCAAATTCCTCATGTGTCTGACACACTTGGCCAATAAAGATTATGATTCTGATAATTTCCATTTTATGCTACTTCAACTTAACTAGTACATTTTATAGGCAAAGAGGTTCATATCTTCAGTACATTATTATGTGGGAGTTGTAGTTCATTTTCAAATTAAAAATGTACATTAAATACACACAGGATATGCTTTTAGCATGTATTCAATTTACAAAAATCTGCACAACATATAGTCTACTTTTGGCCATTGTCACAGGCAACATTAAAGTGATGAGCACAATAATGAATTAATAATTATAATCCAGTAATATCAAGTAAAAGTTCTTTATTGTCATTGTAATAAGAACAATGAAACTGCATATCATCTCTAGTTCATAAAAAACTAATTACACAACACCAACAACACAATAAACAAGCGCGCGTCTAACACAGGAAATTCAAGTCATTTGTTTTGTGCTACAGAGGATCCATCTTTGCAGTCACAGACGATCTTTGCGGGCTGGTATTCGTTCCTCCGTCAGCAAACAGCCAAACCGCAGAGCGGCTGATCCGAGGAGTACGCGCTGAAAATATTACGGGTAAAACGCTGGAAAATTACACCTCTCTGTCTTGTTATTCTGGTGGGAATCAGAATCTGGTGGACTTGGAGTACTGCCATAAAATAGCGTCGAAGGGAGCGCCACATACACGGGAGAACGTACACAAGGAAAGGTAAATCAGAATCAATCCCAAACTTCATTCCCAGCCTGTGGGTCCGAACCCAATTTTTGGGCTTCGTGTAAGTGCTGGAGCATGCGCAGTCTCCGGGTTAAAATTGCGTGTTTATGATTTGTCGAGTTTTAAACACTTGTTGCATTTTATACTTGACCCTGTAGAAATATTAGGTGTTATATGTGTCTAGTTTATGTATTTGCGTGTAAGTCTATGTTGTGGCGTTAAGTCACCAAATCAGTCTGAGTTAGGGGAACAGATTTTTGTGTGTTGGTGCCAGTAGATAGACGCATCCTTCTGGCTGCTGTCGTGGAAAAAGTTAAGTTTCACCTCTCCTGCAGCGTTAAGTTGTGCTGTTTTTCCTTTTATTTAAAAAAAAAAAATCAGAAAAGTAACTACAAACATACGTCAGCGTTCACATATTCCTGAATTAACACTGTAGTTGGTGACTCTTTGCTGCAGTTTGGTTTGTTTCGGTCAACGTATTTAATGTTAGCTACTGTTGAAGCTTGTTAGCTAACGTGTCTGCATGCTCCATATAGCTCCCCTGTAATTATAGTGAAACTTGAACATATACTAAAATCAAAGCTTACACCATTCAGTGAAAATGGTTCAAATTTTATCCGTTTTTGATTTTCATTGACGCTTTTACAGCTAAAGTTATATGGTAGGAGTTAGCTAACGTTTAAACTTTACTACCCACCTTTTTGCTAACATATTTAGCTCTTGGGTGCAGTGTGAGTTAATTTTCATCAAAAAGATGCAAGCTTCGTTAAAAAGGTTGGTTTAATCTTCTGTTAGTAATTCTGGAGTTTTATTAACTTTAGAAGGTAAGATGACACTGTTAAAGTAGTCGAGGTTAGCAAACTTAGCCTGGAAAAAGTTAAAGCTGCTGTTCAGATTTTTTTTTTTGTCACATTTGACAAACTGTTCAAAGTCACACTTGCTCTAATTGCTTTCAGTGTGGTGTGTACTCTCTGTGATCATACCGTTTATCAACCTTTCTCAGTTAGCACCTTTGCAGTTTATCTACATCTATTTACTTAAGTAAAAAGTTCAGGCACTTCATTTGAGTCTTTGCTTTCTCCTTCTACACTGCTGCAAATTATTATTGTACTTTTTTACTTCACTGCATTTTCCCGACAGCTGCCATTACTTTATGGACAAATATGAAGAGCTTATAAAACATGATGCTTTGTTATAGATAAACCTTCTAGAGTAAAGAGTACATTGGAAACGATTAGATAAAGGACAGAAAATCAGTCTGCAGTTGTTTTTACTGCAGTGCATCCCCTCCCTCTCTGTAGTGGAGAGGACGTGAGAGGAGGTGTTAGAAATTAAAATCTGGTATTATCCATATGCCAGACAGCTGCATATTCCACAGCCCAGCCCACGAGCTTTGTCACTGAAGTAACCGAGTGCCTGACAGTGGGCCAGAACTTTGGCCACAGCAGGAGAGCGAGAGGGATGTTTGAGAAGGTTTAGTGTCAGAAACAGAATCAAAACTGGAAGATGCTCCTGCTGCTCAGCCCGTTTGGAGCAGATCTGTTGTAACTCATGAAGAGCTGCACAGCGGAACTTCAGTCTTTATTCTCATTATCAATTGTCAGTTATTTTTTTGACTAACTGACTGGTTTGGAGTGGCAGTGATTAGTCCAGCATCTGAAAAATAATCTATATTGAGATTTGATTAATTGTTTTTTTTTCTAGCAAAACTCGCCAAAAATGTTTTTCTCAGTCTCAGATATCAAAGTTTTTTTTTCATATATCACATAAAACAGATAAATGACAAAACAGGGACAATGTTATGTTGCTTAAAAATGACTTAAATGATTAATTAGTTGTTAAAATAGCTGCTGATAAATTTTCTGTCAGTTGATTTGTTGTTTCAGTTCTAAAAACAAAACACATAGTGTGTCTTTATGGTACATTAACCGTGGCCCAGATTTGACAGTGAATAGCAGTGAATGCTCAACTAATAAGGTACACACAAGTCTTGTTCTTGTGGGTGTCCACGTCCTGATCGTTCCCTGTACATGATTGGTCAATCCAGCACCTTTGCTGGGTGATGTCACTGCCCGGTGAGGGTGAAAACAGCATAGAAGGTCGCACACAGCTTCAGTTAGAAGTTAGAAGCTCGCATACAGCTCTGTGGTCTGAAGAGACTTATGAAATCCTACAGGAGAGAAGCCTGTCGGCTGAGTCTGTGGCCACTTTACAGTGTTTGCACATTATTTTACTGCATATGATAATTCACACTCAGGAAGTAGAACTGAGGTGACTTTCATTACAAGATGATTAGTTAAAACATTTTTATATGCACCTGCGCTGTTTGGCCATTTCTGACTTTCACAAATTTATATATAAAAGAAGTAAAAGACTGGACAGACTCTCCCTGGGTGGAGGGTGGTTGGGATTTTGGGTCTTAGTCATTTTACACTCACTGTGTTAAGCTGCGCTCACTACGGAGCAGGCCTAACCACAGTTTGCTGTAGACTGTAGTGTTAGTTCTTCTGTCAGCTGTTCTGATGTGCTAACAGGAAACTATCGAATGCGGCCATGGATGTTATTGTGAACAACCAGATAGCAGTAATGCATTTTGCCTAGCTAAAAGGAGGAGTCGAGTTTCTGTGCTGGGGGCGTCCTCTGGGGAATGGGGATGGACCATTGGTGGAGGGGTGCTCTCTGGTCTTCTATCTAAGAAAAATAGATGTTAAAATAATTTGCAGACATCATTTGTTTACCTTAAATATAAAAGGAGCATGTCGGCTCATCTGTACCTCGGCACAAGACGTTGTTGATGTTGACGTTAGCTGTACGTGGGGCGTTCCTGTGGCTGGGAGAGTGCAGCACATCGAGCACAGCGCACGCCTTCTGATTCACGCCAAAATAAAAGCTTCATCATACTGCTTCCTTCTTGCACAAAATATCCTTACTGCAGGTGCCCATTTCACTGTGTCTAGGGTTGGGAAAGTCTGGGAATGTTCAAAGTTGGAAACTTTCCATGGGAATAACCCGCAAATGTGCAAAATTGCTGTTTATCCTATAACAGGGAACTCAAATGTAGTTGAGTAAAACATCTTGCAGCATAATCTTGGTTAAATCAATCAGACAGTGGGGGGTTTCTTTCATTCTACATTTTTCAACAGAATTCTACATTGGGGTGGGGGAATCATAGGGAATATGTTTATTCAACATTCATGCTTTTTTGTTGTTCAGTGACGATACATTCAAGTTCTACTGAGAAATAAATCTAAGGGAAAAATGTCATTTTTAAAATTTGCATGAGTTTGCATGAATGTTTGCTTATGACAAAATGTTTGTATAAATGATCCCAAATTTCCAATTCCCACGCATTCCTGTTAATTTCTATGGAAAGTCTCCAACTTGGAATATTTCCAAGCTTATGGTGTTTATTAAGGCTGATGCTTCACCCGGTCAGGGTTGGCTCCTCCTAGTGTCTGTAGGAGAATCAGAGGCACGGTGAAGCTTTATTATTGATTAATACGCTGCTTGTTTTCTAGATTCAGTTTTACCAGGGACCTGAAGTGATCACTTAGCAAAATGCGTGCTTTTTTGATGGACTAAATTGAGTCTGAAATACTTTGTCCTGTCCCTGTAGAGACATCCTGACACTTGGTCTGAGCCGTGGTTCCCAGAGTGCCCTGCTAGGACCACTGGGGGCCCCGTTTCTGTGGCACATTTAATTGTGTATTATTGACTCGCTTCATTATGAAGTCTTGGCCTCCCAGAGGTCTGAAACCAGCTTGGGTGTCACTGAAGTTTTGTCTGATGTAACTGATTTACAGAGGAGCAGAGTTTATTGCATATGTTCAGTCTGGACATTTAGTTTGAGCAGGGTCTACAGAGCAATGAGTTTTTTTTTTTTTGTTTACTATTAGAGCTTTTTTACTTTTAGAGCTTCACGTCTGTGCAGATTCTCAGTCATCCAGGTCATAGTAAACCGAAATAACCTTAGGAAAAATCCAAGTCCAGTTGATTTTTCCTAAGGTTATTTTGGTTTAGAGCTTCACGTTCATTTACAGCATGTGCTAAAACACTTCTCATCCTGGTCGGCCTCCGTTTTGTTTCTGTTTTTGTACAAAAATTCCCATTCTTTTCACAGTTTTCATCTCCTTCTATTTCACTTTTTCAAATCCCCTTCGTCTTCCGTCTCTCTCGTTTAAACCTCAGCAGGCTGTATTGTTTCTACTGATCATTTTCACTCTGCTGCTAAAAGCATGATTTAACCCCCAATTGTCAAAAAAAACAAAGATTCTGCATCAAGTTGTCAACAAGTATGTCTCCTGCAGTTTCCCTCATTTAGTTTGTTTCTAGTCTGCAGTCTTTCTGTCGGTTTCTTTGGCCCTGCTCTTCTTTCCTCTTTCCAGTTTTTCCCTCCTCCTGCTCGGGCTCTTTCCTCAGTTTTCTCTCTCCTGGGAGGGTTTCAGTCTTGGAGGCTGGGCTCAGGGGATCTCTCTCTTTCCTCTGCTCTATTTCTATCCCCCCTCCACCCCCCCACGAGTGTGTTTCCAGTCTTGGAGGCCCACGATCAGGTTACTCAGGGTGCCTCGGAGGCTCTGTGGCTCTGTGGCAGCGTTGGAGGGGGGATGGAGGGGGGGGG